TAAAAGATTAAAATTCGGATGAGTCTTTGTTCGGACAGCCAGTGTTGGCCCCCCGTGCGGCTAAGTATTCAGAAGTAAACTAAACTAGGCCTGTTAGAAGCCCAAAAAAAAGAAAAAATCCTCAAGGTAAAAAAAAAAGACCAAAAAATTTTTTAAAAAAAGAAAATTATAAATAATAATAATAAAGGAAAAAGAGAATCTGTATTCAGAGCAATCTATCATCACCTCCTCTCTCACCAGCCGCCAGTGGCCAGCATTAAAAATATATATAAAAAAAAAAAAAGCCACAAAAGCTTCTTAGCTTCAAAAATGGCGACGTCGTCGAGTTGTGTGATTTCCGGATTCGTCGCGCCTCAACTAAGATGCAGAACACAAGATTCTTCCAATCGCAATTCAAGACGGCCGCCACAGCCGAATCTCCTTCGGTTGAATTCTCGTACTTCCCTCCCGCCGATCCGTTTCTCCGTCCAACCTCGTTCACTATTCTCTCGTACCCACTCCCCCGCTAAGTATGTATTTTTCTATTCATCATCTTGCCTTCAATTATATATATTATATATGAAAATCTGTCCATCTTAGCGTCTTAATTATGACCGACTGAAGCCGGATAATCTATGTAAACTGTTTTGAGAGTGAGAATTGTGGGGATTATTTTCCTAACGTTGTTATTTGGATGAAATTTGGATGAAGGTGGCAAGGTACAAATGGTGGTGGTGGTGGATTGGTATTGCATAATAAGAGGAAACCTTGTAATTCGTTTCTTGGTTCAGAACAATCCAATTGCATCACCAGTTCACTTAAACAGCGCAGCACAATCAGGACGCCTATACCCAGAGTCTTTCTTGACAAATCTTCTTTTTGTTTGTCTAGGCGCACACTCAGAACTGCTTCTGTAAGCAAGCCATTCTCTTCTTTTATTTATTTATATGTTCCAGTTCTGATAAAAAAACTAAATGAACCTGTCAACTTTTTAAAATACTTTCATTTTAGATGTATAGCTTCCCATGTAGAATCAGTTGCAGAAGAAAAGTATATAAGCTCAGTTCTTTTTGACCTTAGAATGATGTAGCTTGATATTGGTATTGTGCCAACAGCTAACATCTAACCAGGACCTGCCGAAATATGTATTCTTGAAATTTCATTGTTTAGTTCTGTAACAGAATGCTGGCATGGGAAATCTGTAACTATTATATTTCATAATCTGCAGACTGTTAAAATTCATCTTTCAAATACATTTCCTTTTGAATAATTCAAAAAGTATCTTTCCACTGACTGTAGATTGTGTAAATTTTCAGGTGAAACATCTCTGTCCTCCATGTGCGACTGTGGGTCCAGATGAGCCACATGCAGCTAGTACAGCCTGGCCTGATGGTGTTCTTGAGAAACAAGATTTGGATTTGTTATATCCTCAATCACTGCAAACAGACCTAGAAGGGTTTTTACGAACTGAGATTCCTTCCCACCCAAAGTTGTACCGAGGACAGTTGAAAAATGGCCTTCGCTACCTTATTTTACCAAATAAAGTACCACCAAACAGGTTTGAGGCACACATGGAAGTTCATGTGGGATCAATTGATGAGGAAGATGATGAACAAGGGATAGCCCATATGATTGAACATGTTGCATTCCTTGGAAGCAAGAAACGGGAAAAACTTCTTGGCACAGGGGCTCGATCTAATGCTTACACTGATTTCCACCACACAGTGTTTCACATCCATTCACCCACCGGTACCAAGGTTTGTGTTTGCAAATTTTTTTTTTTTTTTTTTTTTTTTT